CTTAATAAGCTTTTGAATTTTGAAACAAGTATATATAAGTATATACAAGTATATATATATAAACAACTTTGAATTTTGAAACGTTAAACGCACTAGTTTTCATTATCTGGTATTAAATAGAAATAAATACTTTTTTAAATAATATAGATATGTAAATATTGCTGAAAAAATACAACTTCCATCTGCTGAAATACCATTATACATCAAATGCCATAAAACTTATTCAGTTTGTGTATTATTATAGTAAGGAAACTCAAGAGTGCTGAAATTAAAATTTGCAGTTTGAAATTGTGTTGAACTTTTTGAAATTGTGCACAGTCTATTGTCATTTAAGTTAAACGATATCCATTAATGACAAATATTTTGCGAATTCTTTTTTGATAAATAGGATAATCTGGTTGAAGTACAACATTATCAAACAATGGCACAAAATACTATACATGCAACAAAAAATATTAATTGTGCATTTGGAAACTGGTAAAACATAGGCCATAACAACCAATGCATGACCACAAGTTATTAAAAATAAAATAATTTAGTTATTTTATCTATAGCTCAATTACCAGTGCCTTTATAATCTCAATACCCAATAGTAAATATGAACTATAATTTAAGACATCTATTTTTAACATTGATTTACGCTGAACCTGATTTCTACATCAGATATAACTTTTTTTCAATATGATACATGCTATAGTGACACATACTTAACAAGAATTAGTTTTAATTTCTTTCTTAAAAAATTTTTTTGTCTTCTCCGTATTGAATCCAGGGGCATATTCAGACTAATAAATTAGGGATTAGGGGCAATTTTTTCTGGTGTTATTGGCGTAGTTTTTGATTTTTCTTGATGTTTTTGCAAAATATGAACTAGTAATATCAAATCAAAATATGAACTAGTAATATCAAATAAAACATTGCAGTTGGATAAAAGGTATTTTCATTTTTGACGGATTATTTTTGATTAATGTATTAGATTTTAATAACTTTGTTGATAAAGATTTACTTTTCACTTTTAATAATAATTGATTATTAAATTTTGGGAGAACTTTTACTTTTATAGACTCTAATTTTATTTTTCTAGTATCTTTCTGCATTAACTTCTTCTAGACTTTTTTTAATGGTTTATTTTTTTACAATGAAAAAAATAACAAAACTAAATTATTTTGTCATTATTTTGTCTATTATATTAAGATAAGATATTTTAAAATTATTCTTTATAAGAAACCTTTGAGATGATAGGAAATAGTAGGAGGAGTTTCTTGAAGATTCGGGTTGTTAGCAATAGTTTATATTATAGTTTTATTGTATATCAATTCTATTTATATCTATCAGAAGGTTTTGGTTCGTGAATGATTAAAGAATTAACTAATAATAATTAATAACAGATTAAATTAATCTGTTTGAATTCAATTTTTCATTTTTTGCATAAACTTTTATGAATAACATACTGTATTTCTGATATAGATTATAGATGTTACCTATATTTGAACTCCAATCTTCATAAAATTAATCCGTTTGACCAATTTATGGAAGTTAAGAAGATTGAACTAAAACAAAGTATTATTCAATAATACTTTATTAAGTCCCATCTCCTTTTTTTTTTGTACCAACGTTACTGTAACATAAACATGAAGTATAAAACCACTTTATATTGTTAATATTTTTGTAATAATAGTTATTTCAACAAAAAACACCCAAATTTTGACTACCAAAGTCATTTATAAAATCTAAAACAAAGAAAAACCTTTTATAATTAACTAAACAAAGCCGCCATTTCGTTCATTTATCCCCTATGAAAAAGTCCTACATTAAAACCGCACGCTGTGATATCTTTATTTTTCATATGTATTATCTTTACCTTTAAGTAAATCAGAACGTCTCCAACTTGTTTACTAATTTGTTGGACGAAACTCTATTGAAACCTGGAAGATAGAAGATATAATTATGCTATTTTAGCGGGCAAGTGCATGTCAGCACTTGCCCGCTAAAATAGCATAATTATATATAGCGGGCAAGTGCATGTTAGCACTTGCCCGCTATAGATTCACAACTGTGGTTAGACAATATTTCTTCTCAGAACGTGTAGTCAACCGCTGGAACTCACTTGATTAAGATACTGTAACAGTCACTTCCTTAAATTATTTCAAATCAAAACTTAATAAGTTGCGCAGAACAAGGGTGGGCTTCTTTATGGACTAACGTGTACATGGCTCATAACTAAATTGCTTTAGTGATACTGGTATGGTCATAGCAGGTAAATAACCAGATAAATAATATACTCACATATATATGTATTTGAATAAAACCTGAAAATATTTTATTAGTTTACATTATAATATTATAAAATATGAATTAAACTATAATATCATATTATAATCTAATATTATTAATATGACATATTATAAATATAAACTTTTAGAACACATGTGTTGTTATAACTTTAATCAATGCAATGAAAGCTCAATCAATCAATATATTTTACACAAAAAAGTACTGTTTACGGCGGACGTGTATTTCAGGCAACGCAAATTTTCTAAAAATATGCAATTACCAATATATAACGAAAGGTTTAACACTAAATCTTTAACACTAAAATCAAATATTGCTTTATCCTCAAAAAAAAGATCTTTAAAAATATGATGTAAGTATAATATTTTTATCAAAATATACATTATTATGCACAACTTCTCAAAAACATAGCAGGCACTCTTTTTGACATAAGAAAAATGAAGAAAACTGTTTTACTAATGTGTGGTAGTTTTTTTGCCAGATTAGATAATATTTTTCAAAGAGAAATGTTAAAAAACGGTTGTGCCTCCATATGCGGTTATGCCCCCACTTCCCCTATATCTGGAGATTTTACATATTATATATATTATTTTAAGAACAACTACATCTATAAATTCTAAAGATTTAGTTACATCTTTTCTTTTTCTTTTTCTAGTTACATCTTTTAAATATAACTACAGAATTTTATGAAACTATAAATTATGAATAAATGCATTATGTTAACTTGATTGAGTTTCATATATGGTTTTTTTTCAGATGTAGTTATATCTGGTTAAAATTATTAAATATATATGCAGTATTTTGACCAGATGTAGTTTCATATATATATATTTTTTTTCAGGTGTAGTTACTGGAAGAAATTCTTCCAAATGTTCTCATTTAAAACTTTTAAAGCCCCTTTTTGCTTAAGACTTTTATTTAAAAACTTTCTAATTTTTTATTATGCAAAACAAAACAATTCTAAAGTTCTAAAGGATATTATAAATACTTATTGTATACCTCTTCTCCTCACGCGAACTCGACTTTTTTTGTAAAAAAAAATTGAAAAAGTGAAACTTTAAAAACTTAACATAAACATTTGCATAATTTGAAATATACTTAAGTTAGATTTAGCTATATTTTTTTAAAAAAAGAAGTGATGTAGTATTAGAAGTATTTTTTTTTGCCATGAACTCGGGTTTAATGGCTGTTCGTGCAAACGCTCACGAATGAGAATTAGCAGCAGTCGGTTGCTTAATATGTTAGATGATGAGAAAAATCATGTTTTTGTATTATAAACAGAATCTAATCAAGTCAAAATAGAGGCCGACTTCTTTAGAAAATGTATAACATTTATGCCTTTTTGACTCATACAGGGTTTGAAGTTATAGCAAGTCTTTGTAAATAAAAAAACAGAGTCTTTGAAGTGTTTTATTAGTTTAAAATATGTTCTTAATTTAAATATGTAAAGTGCAAGTAATATAAACGTGTAATAGTCATTTTTGCGAACCATTAACCCTTTAATCTTTTTTTTTTGTCCGGAGAAAGTCTTTCTAATTTTTAACTTGTTCATAACTTAAAATTTTATTATTATTATTATTTTTTGCTATACTTTTTTACTTTTATTCACTTTTTGTTCAGAGCAAGCATTTGTCATTTCAGAGCCGACGACACGGGTTTCGAAGTGAGGGGCACAATTTTAAATTTCTGAAAAAAGTTCTCCATATTTTGAATTTTCTAAAAAAAAAAAAGAGCCTTTAGAAAAAAAGTAGGGGAGAGGGGGGCACGTGCCCCTAATCCCTCCTCCGTGTCGTCGGCCCTGAACTTTTATATATGTTTTAAATGTCCATAAATTAAAATTTAAATAAATTTTTTTTCTAAACATTTTACTTTTAATAATTTTCTTTTTTAAGTTGTAAACAATTGTTTACAAAACAAAAAAAATGTTTTAAATAAACTTGCAAGTCTATTTAAAACATTTTTTTGTTTTTTTTTTTTCTTTTTTATAGTAGTATAGAATATATTTACTGCAAGAAGATAACTCCTGGAACAGAGCATGAATACAAGCCCTGCTATTGGCAGTGTAAGCAGGTAATTACATTGTATATTTTATGTAATAATTATTGTTTTATTTTATTTTTTTTAATCTAAAAACCTATTGTAATGGGTATTAAAAAGATTTGCCAAAGTTTGTAGAACGACATTATTTGGAAGATTGTTCCAAGGATTCGCTACTTTGTTAGTCAAAAAGTTATGACCTATTTCACAATTATTTGTTATATCTCGGCGTAAGCGTTTACAATGACCGTACTTAGGTTCTGCTGTCACTGGTTCAACATGCCAGTTAACTCTGTTAATTTTATTTTCAATGTAAAATATTAAATGCAATCAAAACGCGTTCTTCTAGTTGTTAAATTGTCTAAAGGAGGTGCAAGCGATCTTCATAGCAGAACTTTTTTAGACTGTGATGTATTTTTGTAGCTCTTTTTTGAATACGTTTTACTGCTAATTTCAAATAATTGTTGCAATAATTATTTTAATTGGATTTTTAACGTAGGAAGGGAAGAGAGAAGGGGGGCTTATCATGTGTTGACGTAATTTTATAGAGGGGGTCTCTGGAGGGGAGGGGAGGTAAAAATTATAAAAAAATTGAAGAGGTATTTAATCAGGATTAGGAATATTTTCCGAGATAATACAACATATTCGGACTTGTTTGAAACCTGGTATCTAATTTCACGGTACATTGTAAATTAAAAATAAAAATGGCTGTTTCTAAATTAATAAAGCTAAGTACAGTGTTCAAAGATAATGCCCTGTTTGTTCAAAATCTAAAAAATCATTTTTTTCAATGTGGTTGTATAACTGTTTCAAGAAATTTTGGACGATATACTAGGACACCCAAAAAATTTTTAGAAATCACCAAAAAAGATCGAAACAAAATTCAAAGAGACGATGTGTTTTTTATTTTTGATCAAGTTCTACCAAAGTATACGCTACAAGAAGCCATTGATACCTTTAAAGCATATGATTTATTTGGCGGAGAAAAAATTGATGTTTTACTTAAGGTTGACTTAAATACTGGGAAGGTACTAATATTTAGGTGTTTAAAGTTTTTTTTAACTAATTTGTGGTTAAAGTATTTCTTACTAATAGAAATCAGTTCGCTTATTCAAATGAAAAAAACTCTTATTATGAGTATACCGCAGGGGTCTGTACTGGGGTAATCACTATTTATAGTTTGCATAAATGGTTTATCTAAGGCCATTAAATTTTGTTGGGTCGAACATTTGCTAATGACTAAAATTTTTTTTTTTTACCAAATCTATTTTTTTTAAATTATCAAATATTATAATGATTATTATTTCGAAAATAATTTGAACTAGTAAAATGTCAATAAAATATCTTTTAATAATAGTAAAACTGAGCTTATAGTTTTAAAACCAAAATGCATAAATATAGATACCATCACTTGGGTGACTATGAAAGCTTTTTAAACATTTTTGCATTATAGAAGAAGACTATTGGATTAATACATTTATTTTCTGACTATAAGCATAAACATATTTCAAAAACAGGGCTGAATGAATAGTTTATTTGGGTTGACTTTGAAAATAACATAACCATTTTACTTCTTAAATTATTGGTAGATTAATAAATTACAATGAGGAAAAATACTGTTTGAAGTGTTTTTTGCATGGGATTTTTTATTTCAAGTTGGTTCATTTAAAAAAATACACATACTAAGTTAACAACCTAGTATTTTTAACATAAGTAATTTCACAATATTTACAAAACTCATAAAAGAGAACATCAATCATCACTATCCTTTAACTCCTCAAATAGTTCACACATGCCACATATGAGTTAGATGTTTTTAATGTTTAGCTTATAACAAATAGCTTATAAGTCACAACACTGGAAGTGATATGGTTTGTTGTATTTTTTGCTTTGAATTCATTTGTCGTTGCTTAACTCAACTCACTTTTTTTAAAGAAAGCACAGCTCGAATTTAATGGTCTAAACAATGCTGCAGCCCAAAGCAATTTTTTGTTCAGCCCAATGTTAGCTTCTATATGTTATATAACTTTTCCTTTGTTAGTGGAAACATTTTTGCTAAACAGTGAAAAATGTTTATCAAAAAACATGAATGTGCCACATAAACAATATAATAGAGAGCTTAATAGAGGGTGAATGAAAAAAAATGTTTCACCAATTATAAGCAATGTTTTAAAATAAAAACTTCAAAATACAGCATGCTGTCATAATGCATATGAGAATTGAAAGATAAAAAAATTGATGCATTAAATTTAAAAAAATTTACTTAAAACCTGCAACAATCATAACTGATCATCCTTTACAGGATAATAATTTTCTTTCATAGCAGTGCTGATCTCTACCTCTAAAATTAAGTGTTTTCTGATATGATTCGTTGCGATAAAAAGGCATAGGTCAGCAAACAAATTAGGCAGGCCAACCTTATACTTATGGAGCCACCAGTAACATATTCTCCAGATATAACAAGATCTAATGTCAATAAAGTAATCAAATAGGCAAATTAAAAAAGGTTAATATTAAGTTTAAATTGATTTGTTTAAATACTAAAACATAGATATAAAAAAATAACTTTAATACAGAAATAACAAACAACGTTATTAAACTAACCTGTACTAGTATGGGACAAGCGCTCAAGTAACAACGTTCAGAAAATTTACTAGTTCCTGTCCCACAAGGTTTAGTATTAATGCTTTTTTCAAATTTGGTACTAATATTTGATTTACAACACTAAACTCTATGCAAAAGAAAAGTCTGATTCAAATTCTTCAGAGTAAACAAATGATAAAAATAAAACACATGTTTATAAATAATGAATGAGTAAGAAATAAATCAGTTTAAAAATACAAAAATATAATTTATTGTTGTATCTACTTCCCCTAACTATTTAATGTTCTTTCCCCATACAAATAGGTAATTGAGAGTAGAGAGAGTAAAACATGGTTAAACTACCAAACAATAAAAATCATATAGCTTCATTATTTTTGAGAATTTTAATTGACTAAATAAATAAAATGATTGTGTGTATGCATACTTACATTGATTGTGTGTATGTACACTTACCATAAAAGAGTTAGGATGGCATCTTATTGTATTTTGCATATTTTATGTTTTTTTAACCAACAATTTTTTTTTAGGTTTGTTCGCTGACAATCAGTTGTTATTGTTGTCCGAAGATGTTATTTTATGAAATATATAAAATTATTTAAACATCTTAGGCCAACCTCCTACTAGTTACATGTAATCCAGTACAACCTGCTTCATATGGGAAGATGAGGCCATGGTGAAGACTAACTAGTGGTTAAAAATTTATGATATCAGTAACCAAAAAATAATTTTTTAGCTCATAAACTGAATATTAATTTTCAAAATTAGTCAAAAATTGTATAATATTTTGGACTGGTTCTTCTAATGATGTTCTTTCTCTTCTAGATATAATCCAAAAACACATTGTAAATGCAGTTGGACCACCTCTATCTGCCAAGCTTGAGCCTCTTTCCAATTATTGTGAAGTCATATCTCTTTCTTATTTCTACTAATACTATCATGGTTGTCATGGTTGCTGCTCAAAGGAGCTATAATCTCTAGTTCCATCAACTCATTTTCATCAGACTCACCATTCAGCAAAGTCATTTTACTGTATTTGTATTGTACAGTCTTGTATTCACAATTTTGAAAAAATTTTTAAAAGCGAAAGTCTTTTAATATTATTTAACAAATCCTCAACTAAACCTTGTTTTCCTGCTATTTGAAAAATAACACTAGTGCATCCTAAGCTCTTTAGAAGATTTATACCCTAAAAAAGTATGCTTTTTATACATGTCACTGCATGGTCACTTTAAAATTTTTATTTATCTAGTTTTTTTCCCACACATTTCAACCCTTTGGAACTTTCCCATCTTCATGTTTTCTTGACTTTACAACATACACATGTTTTATGTTTTCCTTCAACTGTTTCCTTTGTTCTTTAACTATATTTTTGGTTTTCTAGGAACTCCCAACTTAATAGTGGTTGCTTGCAGCCTTGTTGGGAGTGAATCAAAATAAAATTAAAAAATAATATTGCTAGCAGTAGTATTTTAAATACAGAATGTCTTTTCATATTAAAAATTATTTAAATATTTCAAAAGTAGATATTTGAGTATCAAATAGTCAAAAAACACATAAATATGTTCAAATATCAGGTATATACTTATATTATAATTTGAGTGATATACTCAAATTTGAATAGTAAACATCAATGAATACTTAGTTTATATGAATTGCTAACTTGAAAAAGGGGACATGTCCTGCAAAAATTCACATAAGATTTCCCCTTTTTCAAGTTAGCAATTCATATATATATATATATATATATATATATATATATATATATATATATATATATATATATATATACATGTATGTATATATATATATATATATATATATATATATATATATATATATATATATATATATATATACATGTATGTATATATATATATATATATATATATATATATATATATATATATATATATATATACATGTATGTATATATATATATATATATATATATATATATATATATATATATATATATATATATATATATATATATATATATATATATTGATTTTTAGATAAATTTAAAAATATTTATAAAATTTGAAATATTTTGAAATTTCTTCTGAAAATCATTCAGCATTTAAAATTATATGTAAATAAAGTTGACTTTTTCTTCAAAATAATAGGGGTGTTAATTTTACATTGTATAATATAAAATTTCTGTACTGTAAACTCATAAAGTTTTAATTTTTTTACAGGATGTTTTTAACAGGTAAATATCTTCACACTTCTATAATTTTTTTTCCTATTGCTTTGTTTATTTTATTTTTTCCATTTTAGAACAAAATTGGTGTATTAAAAGGAATAATTCGCCTACCTAAACCAGTGAGTCCATCACAAAAAGTACTTGTTCTTGCTGAGGTTGGTAAAGAATATTAAATTTTTCATATTTATGTGTGTGTGTATACAGTGCTCTATTTAGCCTACGTTTTTGCATACCTAACGCATACCTAACACATAAACAAGATTGTGTTGGTTTACTTATTATTTTGCATATGCCAAGATTTTAACTAGATATTTTGTTATTAATGTATTTTGTCTGTTTTCAAAAGTGTCATGAAAATATAATTTAAGTATATTGCAGAATATATTGACTAGAAGTTTTTCTTTTAGCATTAAAATGGCAAGATACTTTTGCGCATTTAAATATAACAATGATAATAATAAATACATTCACAAACATGAATAGATTGTGCCAAAAAATCCGTTAAAAATTAATTTTTCTCTGTTAATTTTGTGATTTTTCGTCACGAATTACTTCGTTAATTTAATGGAAAAAAGCAACCCGTTGCTTTTTCTAACGGATTGTTTTTAGAGTGTACTAAAAATAAAAAAAGTGCATTTTTATCAATTTAAATTTGATAATAATTTTTGTTAAATAAGTTTTTAATAATATAATTATCATTTTTGAAATTTTCATATAATTTCGCTTAATAGTTGTTTTTTGAGACTAATAATAATATTCTTTTACTATTTTATATTATTTGCTATATTTCACATTAACACCGCATAGTGATTAAAAATCATTAGTCTTTTTAAAATGTTAGAAAATGTTTACTTAAAGTGAATTTATTTTTATAGTATTAGTAGATAAAGTGTTAGTATGCATATTTAAACAAAAAATTTAAATTTAAACAAAATTATCTTTATTTACAATTATGTAGTATCAATATCATATTACCTTTATTATTTGTTTTACTAAAACAGATTTGTTGAATAGTTCAATATAACAAAGCTAATTAAGTTAAATTTATTAATTGGACTTAATTAATGCTGCATTTTCATAGTTCAATGTTATCTCTCAGCTATCTAATTTTTCTAATCACATTATATATTGCTCAACTTAATGCTCATTTGTTCGTGATTGCACAGACCTCACAACATTGCGCCCAAGTTAATAACAATAGTCACAGCACTTATTTTATAAGAAAATGTAAACAAAAGTGTTTGCAAATATCTTATGTAAACTTCAAATTATGTAATGTTAAAAGTTATAACAAGTTTTATAGTTTTGCTTTTACTTAAATATTAAATGGTGGCAATATCTCCTTAATTTTGATTTATATAATTTATTTAATGCTTTATAAAGTTGTACTGTCTTTTATTTATTAATTAGTGTTAAAAGATATTAATACAGTATGCCTTAGTTAGCTCGGTGCACTTCTGAAGTGCACCGAGCTAACTAAGGCATTCACTAAGCTTTAATAGAATTATATCAGAATAGGAAAGATTTTCCTATTCTGATATAATTCTATTAAAGCTTAGTGCTTGGTTGTATATAATGCTTTTCTTTAGATGGTATGGGTGATTAGATTCGTGATGTAGAAGGCTCATTGTATCTGTTGGCTTTCTGTATAAAGTACTTTGAATAAAGTACTTTGAATCCTGTACATCCCTACTTGGTGCTGAAAATGGCCAACAATGTTCACTATTTAGAATACCAAGTGACAGTTGTTTTCTGTTGCAGCGACATTTTAAAGAAAGTTCTGACAGTACGGGCTAGCATATGTTGTGTTATATGTTATATGACCAGATCAAAAAAGGTTTTTTTTCAATTGTTAAGTGGCTAGATGTTTAAATGTTGTTAATTGAGAAAAAAATAATTCCTTCAAATTTCAAAGCATTATTCCTATGTTTAACAGCTTAATTAACTTAACATTTCAACGGTGACCTTATATTTAAAAAAAGTTCTTTTAAAGTAGGTCAACCTGGTACTCAAAATAATGTAGCAAAAATATTATATAAATTTCAGCAATAATATTCGTTTTAAAATATATATATATATATATATATATATATATATATATATATATATATATATATATATATATATATATATATATATATATATATATATATATATATATATATATATATATATATATATATATATATGTATATATATATATATATATATATATATATATATATATATGAACTAATTTTTTATTTAAAACTTGTAAAAATGTACTTTTATTTTTGGTTAAAAAACTAAGCTTTTATTTAATTAAATCTAAAAGAATAGTTGTATTATAAAATCATTATTTAATTGAAATTTTTATACAATTTCACTACTTTGAAGATCCAACATGATACTTTTAAATTATTTTTTTTCAAAATAATAGGGACCCGTTATAAAGTAAAGTTAATTATGCTATCCCTAGAACACATTATTGTGAACTAATGTCATTCTTTGTGTATAGATAATTCATAAATAAAACTAGTTTGTTTATCAAATCCACAAAAAGCATTTGTTTTTAATTAGGAGTTGTTTTTATTATGATGTATGATAAGGTTTGGTATTTTACATACAACGTGCATGTTTTTAATGTTTTTAGTGGAATTATCTGGACTTTCCCCTGGAATAACATGTTTATATTTTTTATGTTGTTCATGTTGTTTTATAAAAATTTAGTTTAAATTGATGTAAATTTAGTTAGCGCCCTATAGGACATAAATTGTTATTTATGTCCTATAGGGCGCTAACTAGTACTAATAAATCAACTTTTTCATTGCAAGAAGTATTATTTTTCTTAAGCGTAATCAGCTCAGCTAATTGTGTGCCTTTGGTCGAAATGTATATTAAATCGTAAATGTAATAGTTAAATCGTGGGTTTTTGTATAAGCTTCATATAATTCAACTATAAAACATGGTGAATTTGTATTAATTAACTAAAAATAGGCTTTGTTAATTCAAAAAAGCATTACATTACAAATACTAGCAAACCTAGGTTTAAACAAAAAGTATGTTTAAATCTATACATTGAAAAGAAAAAAAAAATTGGGTTAACGTCCGTGTTTATAATAACAAGTTTAAGGTGGGTGTTTAAGAACTATCAAGATAATGTTTCCAGCAAACGTTCACTGTTTGTTAATTGAACGTTTAGCGAACGTTCAAGAACTGTAAATTAGAGTTCACAAAAATTTGTTCAAATAATGTTTGCAGCATACTTTATGCAAACCTAAACGAACGTTATGGTAACGTTAATTTTTAGCAGGGGTGGACGTTCAAGAGCTATCAAAGTAACGTTTGCAGCAAACTTTAGATCAATGTTCGTTGTTTGAACGTTCACAGCGAACATTTAAGAACTGTAAATCGGAGTTCACAAAAATTGGTTCAAAGAACGTCTGGAGCGTATGTTATTCAAACCTAAATGAACGTTATGGTAACGTTCTTAGAACATTAATTTTTAGCTGGATAGCTGAGTGTCTATGCCTGTTGGTAATTGTTGTTTATGTGCAGTGCCACAAGCGGGCCTAGACTGAATAATTTCATCTATATATATTGCCATTTTTATCATGATAATGTATAAAAATTATCCAGCTGGGCTTGTTTTGTTGGATTTTCTTTAGTTTTATCAATCTGCTGCTCAGCATGCTCAGATTGACTTCAATCTTGCTTTTTCACCTATCAGTGTTGCCTGTAATGATAAGAGTTTAGTTTGAAATTATGGATCAGCCAGTGTCACCACTATATAAAAAGGTTTCTCCTCAATGCCTTTAAAACGCTTATCCAATAACTTGATTAGGATTGAATTCATAGTCTTTACACCTGCATTGTTGCAGAATACCGTGTGTCTTCCCTTCAGAATTTTTTGTTGCGTTGTTGTTTGAAAATAGGCTTAGCTAATTAAATTGTAAAGAAATGTAAATTTCATAGACTTTAGAATTACTAAAAACATTGATTTGTAAAAATAAAATATTAAGTATACATGTTATCATGGGCAAGAAAGATGTAATACATATCCTATCAAAATTCAGAAATCCGGCCAAAATTAAGCCGGATTTGCTAACATTTTGCTGGAGCCGGATTTAGGCCGGATTTGTAAAAATGGCGGGATTTCGGCCGGAGCAAGAGTCGGAGCCGAAATTCGGTACAGCCCTAATTAATGCAGGCTAAAGGTGGCCATAATGGTGATCTCTGATGAATTGAAATTTGTTTTATATAAAATGATGGTAGCTTCAATTTCTTCATGATGCAGGATATTGTTATAGAGTGGTGTGACATCTGTTACAAAAAAATTTGAAGTAACAAAATATTGAAGTGAGGAATAAGTATGGACTGTGGCGCAAGGCAAAACCTATGAAACAATTATAAGGTTATAATCATTTCATAGGTTTTTTAAAACGATTATAATGGCACAGGGCTAAGTACATAAACATGATAACATAATAACGGGTAGAGCCTAAAATATGGTCTAAATATAAATAAATATATAAAAAAAAACAGTAAAATAGATATGGTTGTGCGACTAGCGCAAAGATAATGATATAAAAAATGGTAGCTTCAATTCCTTCTTAATGCGGGATATTGTTATAGAGTGATGTGACACCTACTGTTACAAAAAAATAGTTAGAAGAGGTAAATTGGTGGGATTGAAAGGGATGAAAAAAATTATCTTTGATATATGAGCAGAGAGATTATGCCACTGGTTGTATAATGTGTGTGATGAATTTAGATAAATGTTTTTGATGAAAAAATGAAATTACATGCTGAAACAATAGGCCGTGACGGTATACCCTCTTTGTGAGTTTTTGGTAATCCGTAAAAAATAGGGCAGCGATCAGGTCATAAAAAATTTGCTGTTGTTTTGTTGATTATGTAGTGGACAACCATATAGTCTATTAAAGAATTAATATCATTTATTATTTTTGCTATAGGGTTATGGGGTAGGAGTTATAAGTATTAGTATCATTTAATAGTTGGTTTATTTTATTCTCATACTGTACCTTATCTATAATACAAACCCCACCACCTTTATCTGCTCTTTTGAATATGATATCCTTATTATTATGTAGTCTCTCCAATGCTATAGACTCTACTGATAAAAGATTGTTTGTAATTTTTAGTTTAGGGCTTT